AAATAAGAGAGATAGGAAGTTGATTCGCGAAATATCTCGAGGTAATGAGATCATCTTCATGCCTCTGTTGTTGAAGTTGAGAAAAACATTTTTTTCACCATTTGAGAGCCTTTTGAATATTCCGAAATTTCGCACAGTGTAGGAAAACACCATGTAGAGATTTTATGTGAATACCCTTATGTTTCAATGACAAACGAGATCATAGCTGAAGGACTGGGCTATCGAACAGTGTGAACCAAATTCAAATTGTTCTAGACTGAAAAAAGTTATTCACATTATAACAGGGGCGACATTTTGGTGTGCGACGAAATTAGTATTGAGTAGTTTATATGTTAGCGGAACATGTGTGATTTTGTGAAAATCTTATCGTTTGTGAAGTTCTTACATTTGCTATGGAATTCCATCAAGTAACGGCGAGTCAATTCAGACTTTTTTCTCTGAATTCAGACTATTTCATCTGAGTTGAATCTTCTTGTCATAATGTGTACGTGAAACAGGGTGTTCCAGAAGTAAATGCCAAAAAATCACGATTGCGTATTCTTTGCAGACGATATGGAGGTCCCTACAGGCACATATCTGCAGGATGACCATTTTTTCCGTGATATACAGGGTGCAACTCCTGAAATAAATTTTATAACTGTTGAATTGGAATTGATGAGCACATAGTGATGCCTTTCATGACTCTGGATGGCTGAAACTGAAACACACGAGGGAAATACACCTACTCACTTTCACCCACAAAATTTTGACATCTGGTTCACCGCCATATTTACGTAATAAACTTTCTAAACTATCACTTAAAAAGTCTTCGCGCAACAAGCATTTGCTACTTATTCCTAGACATACCAAGTCAATTTTCACCCGAAGCTTTCCCTATAATGCTGCTAAGCTCTACAATACCATCCCTGTTGAATTCAAGGAATTCACTTTAAATAATTTTAAGAAACGGCTGAAATTGTTTTTCTCTGGGCGGCAGTAGTTCTTTCTTTTTTATGACGGCGTGATTTTTGATCTGGTTGTAACTATCTTATTCAGTGCATTAAACTGTACTGTCCACTTATACATTTATACTAATTTTCTGGTAATTATTCCGATAACCTATGTACAATTCTCAATCATAAATTCATTTTGAAAATTCTGTAATTTAGTTTCTTATTAATTATATTTGGGTATATCATTCTACCGGTTGGGTTTAAAAGCAGCTTCTTAGCTGAACCCCGCCCTTTCATCTATTTGTTTCTTTCTCTACCAGTTGTGAAATGATGATGGTGAATAAAGACATATTATTATTATTATTATTATTATTATTCAATTCTACATCATTAACTCACTTTTCATTATTCATGAACACACCACCGTGGAAACAATAACAGTACAAATATATATCCAGCTGCAATCGACAAAAGAAAACATCTGGAGCTATGGAAAAACCGATAATACATTCATTGCATGCCCAATTGTTCAGATAAAATTACTATATATCACCTCCATCAAAGCAACTATTTTTAACGACAGTTAACAAAGTGCGATCCAGAAGTTTCACCCTGTATAGGAAAGGAAGTATTGAGACAACTTTTAGCCAAATATTGAATATCATCATTTCATTAACTAGATATATGGTATCGAAATCTAGGAAAGATTACCTTCAGCAAAATATTCGGAACTATCGAACAAGATGACAGGTCACCAATTAAGTTTTTTTAGGCAACAACCATCAGCTCATGATAAAAGCGATTCCATATTGTTCTATAATTGCGCTATATCACGTGCTAAAATGCGTTCATGGCCTACAGCGTGTAATGGCTCTCGGCTAACGCCATCTGGTCATAATACCTATTTCAAGCCCCTGTTACAAATAACAAATTCCTATTAACACCAATTCCATTGAGAAACTCTGAAGTTTGAGTAAGTCTATCACGTCTGGCTGCTCATCTTATCAAACTATTTATGACATCGTTATTAATGAGACGTATACGTAGACGATATGAATTGAACTGTTCAAAATCAGATGGAAGTAGTAGTAACGAAGAAATCTATTTTCTTGTCCTACGATTACGTTACTATGCGCTGTCTATGAATGATAAGTGAATGAAAGAAAACGTTTTTATTTCTATTATTTGATCTTCCAACTCATCGCATGATCAAACAAGAAAATAATAGTGTGGAAATGACCAGGTGGAACTGAAATATAAATGGATACTCGGAATATTCTCGACATGTTTGATATCTATTGGACAATCATACTCAAAAGTCAAAAGGGGAATTTCATTTTCCGTGTGACGTACTCAGCAACATCAACTTATTTTAACAATTAGGTCATCGAATGAAAATTAGTTCGTGAATATTATTTTCCTCGATTGAAGTTGGCGTCGATTTTCATACAATTACACAGATCCGTTTTGTTTGCTTCCAGTTTCCAATTAACCAAGCCATCAATTCCGATTTTTAATTATATTTTTTTACGGAGAGCTCATCCACTCGTTTTCATGGCACTTGCATCAGAACAAACAGAAAATATTCACTTTTTCAGAACGTATTTTCCGACTATGCGAGTATAGCTATTACTGACAACTATATTCGATAAAGTTGATAGCTTCAATGGTGGATAGCTCAAATAATGTTACTCTTTTTTCTTCTCAGTTTTTCTATAAGAGTACATAGGAAACGAGGACGTTTCCTCGACTTGATGAAATATAATATGTATTTGTCAAATTTCCAATTTCTCAAACAATATTATTTCTTTTTTTATAAATGATGAGAGTACGTAGTAGAAACCACAGGAACTCATGAGAAAACTCTGAAATCTAATCTTATTTTGATGCCTCCATTGTTTTCAATGGTGCTGTTCCATACACTCACTTTTTTTTCATAGCCACCTACTCTATTAAGGTCCACAGCTTTGATAGTCAATAAACAGTGCTGAATGTTTGTAAATGTTGAATGTTGTCGAAATTGAAACTATTGAAAAATAATGTCAGCAACTAGGTTAATATGAAAATTTGTGATATGGACAATGTTGCCACATATTTAAAAGGCCCATCGATGAAAAATCCGCTGGAAACTAGAAACTATCTAACTTCATGGCTTATACTTAGAATATCATAAATGAGTGTTATATATTTTTAGAAAACACAAAGCATCATTAATTCATAAATGGATAAATCTACAAGGTGTTCCTTTTAACAGAACATAACTTTGCGTTATAGCTGCATGATTAGAGCTTATTTCGGAAATCTGAATACGCCACTGAATTCTATGTAAAAAAATGTGTAAAAGGCAGTTTTTACTTTCTCGATAAGTTGGAAGATAACTTAGATACAAGGGGCGTCCCAAAATGCAACATTCTCAATTTTACCCACACAATACACACAAGCATATGCACCATTTCAAATAAACATTTGTCAAATTGTACACTTTTGAAGGGAAATTCCTATTTTCGTACAACATAAAAAATATAGGTTGTTGGTGCCTGTTGATCAATTCACATAACAAAATCAATGGTGAAAACTGCATATCGATATCTATCTTCGTTTCAGAGTTACAAGGTATTTTTGAAAATATGAAGTTTCGAAAAGTGGCTGGAACAAATTTTTTCGTCATAAATCTTCCGTTTCCATAAAAACATTTCCAAAGCATTGTGTTTGCCTTGAAAATAGATCCTCAAGCACTGAAATCAGTCATCATATACCTAGTTTCGAAATAGAACTTTTCCTTCAAGAAAAACAAGTTATATTCTTGAACAAGATATAGGTAGGCCGATTTCAGTGCCTCAGGAATGATTGTTATCACAAACTCAATGCTGTGCAGTTATTTTTATGAGAAAATACAATTTTTGCAATAAAAAAATATTTGTAGTCACTTTTCAAAAATGCCCATTTTCGATAAATACCTTGTAACTCCGAAACGAAGACAGATATCGATATGCGGTTTTCACCATCGAGTTTTGCATGAGAAATAGAGCAGGCCCTGATGGGAATCAACCCTCAGGCACCGACATCAGCTTACTTCTATCTAGAGGACTTTCCCTTAGGAAGTGACCATTTTGGCTCTCCCTGTATTTTCATATAGTTCACAACCGGCTACTTTTTAGTCACATTAATGCACAACTTTGCCCTAATTCAACCATACCTTGGTTTCCGAGATCCTTAAATTTGATTTACCATCAGTATATCTGAATACAGAAAAAATTCTATATGTTGTTTTGAGGCTTTTGGGGCAATTCGATTTCCAAGGATATTCAAGACGAAAACAAGATGAACCCCAGTATACAACTTCCAAAAGAACTTTTTTTCATTATAGCTCTACCGATTAATGTATTAGATCGCACCGACGATGAAATTAATGAGGACATATTGGTACGTCCGATAAACATGAATGATATTGGAAATGAAGCTTCATCAACTTAACGGGTGGCGGAAATTTGATCGAAAGACAAATGACAGAAAAACATTTGATAGAAGTCTTTTGATCGAAAATCAAAAAATAGAAAGAAATTTTCACCGAAAATACATTTGATCGAATATTTTATGATAGAAAATACATTTGATAGAAACATGAATGATAGAAAATACAATTGTTAGAAAAAATATTTGATAGAAAATACACTTGATAGAAACAGCATTTGATTGAAAATTCAACGGGGCTACGCTCAAGTTAGGTCAGTTCGTTAAAAAAGATATGATCCTTCCTCATATATTTGGGAAGAAGGAGCTAGAAGTTTGTGGTATCAATAAATTCATAAGCTTCGATTTCCATCTAGCCCCGTTGATTTTTCTATCAAATGCTGTTTCTATCAAGTGTATTTCCTATCAATTATATTCTCTATCATTTATGTTTCTATCAAATGTATTTTCTATCATAAAACATTCGATCAAATGCATTTCTATCAAAAACACTTTCGATCAAAAGACTTCTATCAAATGTTTTTCTATCATTTGTCTCTCGATCAAATTTCCGCCACCCCAACTTGACATGTAAAAATTAGATAATGGATATCTCACCTCCTCTCACTTCACAAGTGAGTACCAAGTCGGATTTCTCTTCCAGAGGCCCGACCACTCCGGAAACATCCCTTCCGGAGTTATCATATATCAAAAGTTGATGAGGGGGAACTGAAACAACGAGAGAAAATAATATAGCGTCCGTGTCCCTTGGATTTTCGGGTGCAAAGAAAAGGGCGCACTTCATTATATCATAACCCAGTTTGCCTCAAACTCATTTCTCATTTCTCGATCTTTCCGTTTTTAAACAAAATTCAAACGAGTGACGCCGAAAAGCATAAATTAACAAAGTAATCGCGAAGTAATGAGAACTTTAAAATTGTGTTTTTGAAGAAAATACCACCGGAAAGCTTTGTGTAAGAAAGTGAACTGCCTAGCCATCTGTTTAAAATGTATATAAAATGATTAAATTATGATTAAAATGGAGGCGGCATATAATGAAATTCTCCTTCAGGTTGCTAAATTCATTTCGCTGGGACTCTTTCGCTGGGAAATTTCGAATGACATAATCGCAGCTGAAATTATTAAGCCAAAATGGATAAGACACAACTCTGGCACAGTGTCGGGAAAATGAACGAAAATATTTACTCTTAATCACATTGCATTATATGATTACAGGCACAGGAAGTTTGTTAAGTTCTGAGATGGAAAAGTTACTCGAAAAACTTTCAGATACGATTTTGGTTCGTTACAGTTATAGACGGGGAAATAATCGATCATGAAGATACTTCCAAACAAAAATGGAAGTTGAATACTGTCTGTAGGTTAATCGAGGAGGTGGTATATTCATTATTCCAGAATTTTGTTTGGATTTTCTCTCCCCGTCTCTATAATATAAAAATATGAATAATATTTCAATATACGTGTAGTAAGGACAAATCAGATTAATACTCCTCATTACTTAAAACAACTTAATAACATCACTCTTGATACAAATGATAATCTCGTTAGATTTGATTTAGTAAGTTTATTCACAAATGTTCCAATAGATAAAACTTCACGAATAGTGAAACATAAATTAGAAGACGATGAAAGTCTCACTGAGAGGAATAATCTAAGTATCGAAGGAATAATGGAATTTGCAATTGTGTCTAAAAACAACATATTTTCAATTGGAATGAGTTTTATCATCAAAACTTTTGAATGGCCATGAGATCGCTATTATCTCCAATTTGGAGCAATATATTTACGGAGTATTCAGAAGGAAACATCATCAAGAATTACCACAAACAACCTAAAAAATGGTGGCGATACGTAGATGATATTTTCATAATTTGGCCACATAACCTTATGGAGCTAGATATTTTTCTTTGAACATTATAGGGATTCCCTTTCGTGCGCTCCAAGCGATAAAAAAAAAGAAAGTGAACAATGCCGAACCTAACATAATGTTTACTTTGGAAATTGAATCTAACAATCAGTTACCATTTCTAGATGTTCTTATTGAGAAATCAAATAACATCTTTGTAACCATCGTAGTTCAGATACCAGAACTTTCAGTCAAATCATCAGACAAGTATTAGAAAAGGAATTATCAAATCACTCCATGATAGAGCCAAATCAATATCATCTGACCAACAAATTTTCAATAACGAAATCCACCACATTTAAAACGTTCTCCTACTCAACTCCTATCGAAAGAATTTTGTCGAAAGACGATTGATCAAATTGAAAACAAACAAGGTCCACCACAACAGAATCAACCATTAATAACAACAAATATAGAACCATACATTCCCGGGATATCTGAGAACATAAAACGTGTTGGTGATAAATTTCAAGTGGAAACTGTGTTCAAAACTGGAAATACAATGAGATCAATTCTAACTCAAACAGAACCGAAAAATGAAGAACAATCGTCAAAAAATTGTATTTACAGTATACCTTGTGTTTGTGGAAGATTTTATACAGGTGAAACCAAGAGACCTCTTTCAGTAAGGACGAAGGAACATAAATACAATATGAAGAAAGGACCCTACGACAAATCGAAACTTACTGAACATATCCTTACTTCTTCAGGACAACATATGACAGAGTGGAATAATATTGAAATCATTGGAAAAGAAGATAACAACCAGAAGAGAAAAATCAAGGAATATGCTTGCATTCTTCTGAACGGACACAATAGCATTGCTTCCTGTTCAGTTGATATAAATAGATAAAACATGGTATTCACTACTGAAACCTGAAAATGAAAATGAAAAATTCAAGATTAAATAATGAAAACATCTTGTAACTGATTTGATTACCAACCTCATCAATTGTCACTGAGAATTGAGAAGTGTCAAAACAAATACGAATTCGCCATACAAAAAAAAATCCATCTTTTATGTTCAAAACGGAAGCAGATTCGTTTCCGAAGATAAGTGGAAATTTGATATTTTTTCTATATACCATTATTTCTCTTCTCCAAACCATTCTCAATACAAATTTTCACTCACAACCTAGTAAATTATTCTTCAAGGCTCTCTGATATAAAAATCGTTATACGTAGGTATATTGACATAATTCATATTTCTATTTCATAAGGACGAGAAGAGAAAATCTTAAAAAAAACTGGAATAATAAAACTGAAAGTACTGGTGAGACAAGATCAGACCATTCAATGAAATAGCCATTTGTATAACAAGGGAGGAAAGTGCCAATTTTCCTAGCGGAGGGCAGTATCATTGTATAACAAGGGAGTAAAGTGCCTTTTCCTCCATACATATGATTTTCCCGCATTCCTCAAATAACAAGTCATTCTTGAATAATACATTTATGAAACTAATAAACAAAATTTATTGAGGAACTGAGACTGAGAACTTGGTACACTTTAACTTATAGGCACGGTTATTTACATTCTTGTATCCTTCATATTTTCTATTTGTAGTAGCGTAATTGGAACAGATACAGGGTGATCATACCTCGTAAGAAAAGCATAAATGATTTGAAAGTACCTTGCACATTGAATGAACAACAAGTAGAAATAAAATGAGTAAATTCCCTTCCCATGACCCATATCGACCAAAAAACCAAACTTGGCTCTCTTCCTAAAGGAGATTACAGCTGCCTTCTCACTATAACTTCGAATCCAGCAATGTGGGCTATCAAAATCGATGTCTTCTATTTTTGTTTGGCATAACTTGAATGTTGAAAATTCTTCACGAAATAATAGTCCAGATCATGATCGATTATCTCATCCATCACTCGAGTCGGAGTTGGAGATGAACTCGGAAGTTTTGAAACAACCCGATCAGGAAGGAAAACAATATCATGCAAGGCATCCCAGATTCACTTTAGAATTGAGTTGTTATTTATTCAGTGCAGGCAAACAGAACGTTTGTTGTTTTTTCCGAGAACTGATTATTTCGATATACAGTATGGTGCAAATGAGAAATCTTCTGACACAGGTCGATTTTTATTTTCTTTTTTCCATATTTATAAGTGGACATTGAATGTACAGGGTGGTCCTTGTTTGAGTTTTGACGTCCGCGACAATTTTATCAAATGAAACACTCTATATATTATTCAATTTCTGGAATCTCCATGAAAAGCTCATTTCAAAAATAGTTTACGAATAGGGTTCGTGTACAGTGTACATTTTTCTAAACAGAACACCCAATGTATTATTAAATGTTTGGAAACTCCATGAAAAGCTGAATTTCAAAATATATTACACATAGATTTCATATACAGTGCGACCCTATTTTACGAGAGCACTGAATTTAATGGACGCACTGTATACAAACCCTATGTGTGATATAAAAATATATAAAGGATTAAAATATTCAGGGCGTTTCGTTAGAAAAACTATTCGCGGATATTATAAAACAAACGAGGATCACAATGTTTATTGGTGAAAATGAAAAAAAAAATGCCAGTCCATGTCCCAACGCAAAAAAAATGTTGTGAAAATATGAGAATGACATCATAAATAATCTGAAGCTATAGTTATTTACGTCTTTTCGATTTTGTTCATAGCAGAAGACGTGTTTTAAATAGGATAGTGGTCCTGTCGTTAACGTGTCCCAACGTGAAAATTTAATATTCAGTGAAGGTTTCGACTATAAAATGGATTTATTTGATACACATGTTATATACCATTTGATTGGAAATGATGCTTACTCATAGATTATAGTTACTGAACACATCAATAGCACCTACTAGTTAACTTAGGAAGGTTAAAACTCGTGTCGGCAGTATTCGTATCTTATCGGTAACTCGAACTGTAATTGTATACATGGTGTATCTAAATAACACCGAGAAAATTCGAGGGGTTTTTCCTTGTGACATTCTTGCAAATGAAGTTCTCATAAACATGAGTCATACCTTGCTCCGTTCTTGAGATACAGGATGTTGAAATTGAAAATATTGATTGTTTTCATTTATAACCCACCCTCCAAATATGAAAGTGACAGGTCAAATAGTTTTGAAAACCTGGACGAAAAACATTTCAAAATTTTTGAATAGAACACATAACTCAGACAGGAGACATATTTTATCTAGGTGATTTGGGTTAAATCTTCATATTTTGAGTTCGGGATTATATGTTATTTTTATATACTCCTCCTCTATTCTATTTTATTTATTTATATCTTGCGATCAATTTATCGCAAGATATTGACTTTGTCGAAAAAATGTGTTCATTCCAGACAATAAAGCTTATCTATCAGACACCAATTTCTTACCTATCACTGTGAGATTGATAGCGAAATTCCTTGTGGGGGAAGTTCTGAAATCCACCCTGCATCTGTAGACCCCTTCATCATCTAGCTGGACGCCGTCCAAGGTCAGAGCAGCTGGCTTTGAAACTGTGACGAAATAGGCACGTGGTCCGAAGATTTCAGGATCAGACCACTGAAGAGCCTTGTTGAATGCTCTGCCACGAACATCGAAACTGAAACATAAACAGACAATCCTTCATTGCGATATTCTCTTCCTTCTTCTGCATGCATCAAAAATGGAAAATTATATAGTCGAAGTCATGATTCAATATCCGATATACAGGGTGTCCCATAAGTGATGAATCATAAGAAGTGGGGTGGTAGGGAAATTTGCAATCAAACTAACGGTATACAACCTGATTCACGGTGGATGGCACATTAGACGTTTCTGGAGAACGCAACTCAGGATTATTCTGAAAATTTGGTGCCTTAGATAATCAGTTGTGTTCTATCGACCTGAAATATTCTTAGTGTTGCGACGTTGCCGCTTATATTGAAAAGTAGCAACAACTTTGATTTTTTGAATGGGACACCCTGTATATTATTCCATTTTCAGATTCTCCCTGAAGAGCTGATTTCTTTGATCTATCACACTTGGGGTCTAGCGGAAATGATAACAAAGATATAGGGAGGGAAAACTCAAGATTTTTCAACTTTGAGAATTTTTTGTGTCGAAACTATTCATCATTGGTTAAAACGGTTTCCATGTCCATATCTCAACTTTTCATGTACTATCAATTGATATTTAATTGAAATAGATACAGGGTGGTCAGAAATCTCAATTCTGAACCGGTCGATTTCAAGGTTCTACAATCATCAATGATGCCACGGTGATTTTCAAACGGCTAGAAACTTACCGCAAATAAGAACTGACGTCATAACTTCGTAAGTAGGGGCAGACAGTAGCACAATAGTAATTTGTTTCACTAGGCAGAAAAGCACAAAATTTAATGCAGCCGAGGCTAAGAAACGCCAGCCGCGGCATTAAATCTACTGTTTTTTCATGTGAAACATATAATCTTTCACTTTTTTTCTCCGAATTCGTTACAATTGCACGCAAAGTCCAAATTATCCATCATTTTGTGTTCACCCAATGTCCTTTTCAATTTAAAAATCTTGTTCTGCCTAGGCAAAGAAAGTATACCTTCTTTGCTTGCCTGCTAAGTGTGATTTGGAGAAAATAGTTATTTGTTTCACTAGACAGGAAAGTGATAGATTGACTGCAGTGGCTGATAGGAATTCCGCCAAGGCAGTCAATCTACATTTACTGCCGTGTGAATCATATGAATTTTCCTGCAAATGTTATGGATTTAAGTTTGTTCAACTTTTTTATTGAAAACTCCATCATTTTATGTTCACCCGATGTCAGTGTCAATTTTGATTACCAGTTTCATTAAAATTCCTCGGAACGTTGAAAGCAAAACATTTTTCATGCCTAGGCAGAGAAAGTATACCTTTTCTGCCTATTGAGAGTCAGAGAAAAGCTACTTTCCTGCTGCTTGGGGAAAAATATTATCCATGAATTTTCAATTGTATTGGTGATATTTTCAATAAGCTGTAAAAAAAACATTGTCTTATAATGTTTCCCTTCATGTGTTGTGGTTTATTGCTTATAATAAATTTGTATAAATAATAATGATATTAATTCACACAAGAGAACATTTGATCCGTTAAACGTGACAACACGGCACGCATTCTCGCCGTTTTCTTCTCAGTTTTCAGCATTCATGATCTTTTGTTATGGAGTATAAGAAATATATTGACAAGCTACTCGAGAAAGTCAAAATAAATAACTATAATATAATGGCTTCCTCCTATTAAGTCGAATGCAATATCGAATCTGGATGTAGTTCGAATCAACGACAGGATAACAACTTTTCATTAACTTGGTTATATTTGGAGACTTGACAACCTTGCTTCGTGAGAGGGAATGGAAGATTATCTGACCAATAAGGAAACAGCTCAACAACTGACGTCACCATGTATACCACGCATCATAGAACATGACCTAATGACGGCCATGATGGCACGTTGAAATGATGCATAAAATTCAACAATTTCGAAGAACGCATAGACACATCATTTGAATATGAATCAAGCTGCAAAAATTGATTCAGATCCCTAACGACACAAAGGAGTGATTGTATGTCAATAATTCATTATCAGGTCAGTAGTCCATTGTACAAACGGTCCCGAAAATACACGAAGATATCACCGATGGAGGAATAGCTGAGATGGTAAGCCATATGATGGTAGTTTGTGGCGAAGTCCTTTTGGTGCAGAACACTTGCTTATGATTCCGATAACTCCACAGCTAGAGATTCCCCATATTTTTCTAATGAAGCTTGCCGTATGAGTGAGATAATTCGGAAATAATCTGCTCCTAAGTCATATGATGAAAGGCTTGCCAAATTATGAACATGATCAATGTGGTCAATGACTCAACAAATCAACCCCGAAACATGATAATAAATAGGTTATTCTATCGATTGTCCCTATTTTGGTACTATAAAGTGAACCATCCTTTATAGCAATCCTTTATTATCTTCATGGATTTCATTCTTCAAGGGATGAATTTTGTTTGTGAGTGGTCATGACAGTTGTAGATATTGGAAGATACATTATTAAAGTAGTTGACGCGTCCGCCGAAGCAACTCGGTTGTTTCCACAAAACAAAGACATCTTGTGTTCTGTTTGTGTCAAGCGTAACTCGGTTGTTCGGTCCATTTTTCTCGAAGGAGGCGGCTATGATTTTTCACTCGGGCTGACATTTAATAGATTTCCTTCTAGGCATAATTTTTCCCTTTCATTCCTACCTGTCTGCAGGGAGCACGATAAATTGCGGTCGGCAACAAGCGAGAAGAACATTTGTACATATTATATTCGAAGAAAGAGTAGCATAAACGGCTCTCGGGCTTGGTAAATATAAGAACCTAATATACGATTATATCCATCTACGACGTGCATTTTGCATCCCTCTCGCTGTAATTTGATTTTGTTTTCCCGCAACACATTCAGTGGCGGCCTGGCGAGACCATTAAATATACAGTGGCAAGATAGGCAAGTATACCATAAATCGAAGGACGTTTGGACAAAGCTGAATTTTGTATTAATTTGAGATGGATTGAAGTTATGGATGAATTGCTGGCAAGAACTAGGAGAAGATCGAAACAGCTTCAGACAATAATAGGATATCACAGCCTACAGCCTGTTAAAATAGAAGTTCTAATGTGTATGCAGACGATATTGTATTGATAGCTGATACTGAAGAAAAAATGCAAGGACTAATTGATATATGGACAAAACAAAATAGTACAATTAAAAATGGAAATCAACATGGAAAAGAGTAAGATAATGGTAATAGATAATGAAGATTTTACCGACACAAGTATTTTATGCAAAAAATTGGAAGTAGTAACAACGTATGAATACCTTTTTTATGTTCTGGTTCCCACGAAAAGGGATATCCTGTAATGTTCAGAGGACATCGTGAGAACCAAGGGAAATGAAGTAGGAATGAATTTCTGGAGGTTATATGGCTCGGGGAACACCTCCCTTGGCAATGTATTCCAGAGCCTCGCTGTTCGTTGTATGAACGAGTCTTTGGGAATAGATGTTCTGCAGGTTTCCGAAGTGACCACGAAGGAGTGCGAAGCCTCAACTCGACGGTTCAATCTCGCGGGGACTGCCAAGGGAGGAACAATTGTTGATATTTCAGAAGAGCATCGTCGATGAAAATATCTATAAAATAGAGCCAGATCGCCAACTTTTCTACGGTGTTCCAGAGAAGTGAGTGAGTTTGTGAGCGATGCATCCCCCAAGAGACGAATTGCCCTTATTTGGACAAAATCCAACAGTTTCAGGGTATGTTTGGGTGCTGCACTACACAAATGGGAACAGTATTCCAGAACAGGTCGGTTCTGTGCCTTATAGATCATAAGCAGCTGACTGAAAGTGAAATAGTTCCTGGCCCGAAATAGAAAACCAAGTTTTTGGGAGACACTTTCAGCAATTGATCTCACGTGATTTTCCCAAGAAACGTTATTGCTGATAGTAATACCAAGCATCGAAATGGATGTGTTCAAAGTATTATCACAGATGATGGAAAAATAGAACTGGAATTAGCCAATAGAGCAAGGAAATCGAACAAGAAATACTATTCATTGAATAAGATATTAGGAAAAAGAGAATTGACACAAGAAACAAAACTAAGAGTATATAATACACTACTTGTTATACCGACCATAAAATAGGAAATAATGGAAACAATGGGTAAACGACACAACAGAAAATTAGCCCAATTCTGACGCCCAAGAGGGTGAAAGGAAGGGGAGAAAATAAGGAAGTTAAGAGAATATTCTCCTGAAAATGTCTTGAAGAGAATATCGGGTGGGAATATACAGGGTGTACCATTTGAAACAATCAAGTCATGACCGTTCGAAATGGTCAACATTGGCAGTTCATTATGGATCACCCTGTATGATAACCCCTCGAATAACCCTCAATTTGGATGAAAATTTTGAAAACGCAGATGAGCAAGCATATTGGTATCAACATGTGTATCATAAATTAACTTGGCACGCCGCGAGATAAGGTGATTAGTCTCAAAGATATGTTGAGTAATACTCGATTCACCGAACCATTTCCATCTCAACTGAGCAATATGTTCTTCAAATATTGTGCCAATGCCTCGAACAATACACACTTTCTCAAAAAATTAACGCACCATCAAATATTATCCAAAAGTTTCAGATACCTTCTCGTCAGAGATTATTTGTCGTCAAAACTTCTGGTCCAATCTAGACGTTTTTTGATTTGAATAACAGGTTATCTCCTTCTGGATATTGGCGTGCAAACTGTATTTGCATGTGAACATCTTTTTTATGAATACCGGGTGTAGCAATTGAAGCATGTTTCTTTCATCAACTTTGTGATATCCTGTATAGTGTAACAGTTACATCATCAAGTTAGAATTGAAATAACTCTTAAGCCTCATCTTCTTTCAACTTTTATTACCGCTCCATCAATCAGGATTTCGTTTCAATTCTGATATCCCTTGATTATTTCAAAGCCTTCGATTGTATTGATCATGATCTTCGGCCAAATAGTTTTGACGAAAATGTATCTTGAACTTTTGGCTACCTCTTGGTGTTGCGTTAATTTCTCACAGAAGT